TCATTTCCGAACAAAGGAAACATTGAAAACCACGAGAAAACCCGAAATCTCCGCTACGAATCCAGTTTCCTCTAACAAGATACCGTACAACGTATCGATGTCCGAGAGCGTAAGTTAGTTGTATACAGGGTGTTTCAAAAGTCGCGCAACCCTATATATAAACAAGTGCTGCTATATATTTAACTGGAATGCATACACATCAGCTATTGCATTAGGTATTGTGGGTCCCGTATTTTTCACATAAACTGTAAATGCTGAATGTTATCAACACATCATTCAGAAATTCATCGCTCGATTCTCAATTTGCTCGATACTCAATTCAAGTTCCTAAAAAAAAAGCTGTAGGGTTGCGCGACTTCTGAAACACCCTGTATGGAATTTGCCTTCCGCGATTTTCTTCCTGCGTTTCTTGCATGTACTTTCCTCTTCCTCCTGTTCCGTCAGAGTTTCTCTCGATATGCTGAGACTCGTATAGCAATTCTGAGTGGCTAGTATGTGGTTATTTATTATACGAGGGGTGATCGGAAAAAACTTTACAATCAGCGTCCAAAGTGTTTGTATTTACTGCAACCAAACGATACAGGCGCTGCATAGAGTACTCACGGGGGTCTACTTTCCACATCCTATTGGGCAGTGAGGCATTTGTCCCACCGAGGTTACGATTTTCAATGGCGGCAGCGTATAATTCCTTGTCTTGAGCAGACGATCATTTTTGCACCTCTTTCACCACCTCAGCATCCGACCGAAAATGACGGCCACCGAGATACTTTTTCATGAACGGAAACATATGGAAATCGCTTGTTTGAAGATCAGAGCTGTAGGGTGGGCACTGAAGGACCCCACCCCACCCCCACCCCATATTCTGCAGCAGGCGCGCCACGTGGGGACAAGCGTTACCATGGAACAGGAAATCCCAGTTGTGTTAGACATCCTGACCATCTTCGCCGGATTGCTTCATGCTGGTGTTGCAGAGTTACATAGTACCCATCATCCTAGTCTTTTGGAATTAGTCAGTCAATACGAATTGCGTTGTCTTTTGTAGACGAATCGCAAAGCCTGCCATAGCTCTCCTTGTTCTTGTCGACTGTCGACACTCGTTCACCCACAAATTGTCTGCACCATGCGGCTACCAGATTTTCGATTGGCATACCATCCCCATACACCTTCAACAGCAGGTGATTAATTTCCGCAGCGGAGGTGTGCTTGGCCCAGAAGAAAAATGGATGGTACCTCGAATTTCAACGCGGGACCAATTTTCAAAGAGCATCGCCATTTCACGACTGCACTGCTCACCTGATATGAGTGGTACAAGTGACGTCTCGCGCATTTTTGCCTAGAGCGACACCCCAAATATCACTAATCGTACGCTTACGCTACGCACCTCGTGGTCTTTCTGTAATAGGCCTTGTAAACTTTTTTTTCCGATCAACCCTCGTATATTGTATGACATTTGCACAGAGTAGAGTATTTATCGGAATCCAATGGCCAGGATTTCAGTCACCGATGATCCATGCATGGTTTATCTTCCTAAGGACGAAATGTGGGGCCGAAAATGATGCCTTCGGGCTGAACGTGCTGAAAATAATGGTCTATGCGCCAAAAATTCGTCCGTAACGACGATGTCCAAATGCTCAGAAGTGAAATGACAAACTTACTACACGGCTGTCACAAGCACGAAGGAGCAAGTATCGATTGTCTCATTTTGATTTTCGTCGCTGCTCTATGGGGTCTTTGACTGAAGAAGGCGGTGGAGCATCCATGAATGTTCCTGGGCAACGACCCAAGAGGAAATTTGGGGAAATAAGTGAAAAAGTAAAGCAAGTAAAATCCCATCCAGGAGATGAAAGAAGAAAAAAGAAAAATAGCGTCGCTTTCAGGGGTTGAGTGCCTTCCCTTGAGTGCAGAGGCACATTATTGCAAGAAGCTCCAGCCTCCCACCCCTTCCCCATCCTCCCCTTCCCCTCCCCACTCCCCACATCGGCACTTGCCTGATCTGCATGCTCATTTTGTTTCACATTTTCCATTGCTTTCATATCCAGTCGCAGAGATGGATGCCACACCGAAGAACAGTTTCTAAAGTTAATCTCACCAATATAAAATGGAAAACTGCTGCGTTGTCTTCACTGACTAAACCAGACTCCAAGTAGACGAGGATTCCTCATTTAGAAGTACGATATAAATCTCAGCATTAATATCTTCGAGATTCCTCTCTTTCTTCATGCCTCTTTAATTAGCGTTTCTCCATCGTGGGAAGCTTCAGATTTTTTCTCCCAACCTTATTCTGTACATTTCACAAACTTCGCGAATTAACTCCATTCCTCCAAAGTTCACCTTTTCGTTTTTTTATTTTAGTGTCATCAACAAATTTATTTCTCAAAACTAGCTCAATTATGTCGGTTATTAATATAAAGAGGTAATAAAGAAAGTAGACTATGTTGACGCTCTATACTCAGGACCTATTTTTCATGGAGTCATGGTATTTCAGCATTTTGTTTTATTTGTTTGTTTGCTTGTTTTTCTTTTGGTGGAGGGGGGGGGGGGGTTGTACCATTCGTTTCTGTGAGTTTTGTCTCAATCTGCGAAGTCACCGTTTTGCTTCCAAATCGATTGATGTTGCAACAATTTTCAGAAAAATTACGCATTTCTTCGCATCCTTTTCCCTTTTTGCTGATTTTTCGATTCTCGAGCGGTGGCTGGGGATTCTCGTTCGCCATCAAACAAAGGGAATATTCCATTCAATTTGATCCATCGACAAGACTTATTCTCTTCAACCACTTCACTCGACTTCCGCAAGAAATCTCAACCAAGTCTCAACCCACTCGATTTGTGGCTCTATTTAAAGAGAATGAGGCGGCCTCAAACTCGTAATGGAACGATGTGAAGAAGAAAGACCCCGAACTTTCGCGAAGCGTTGAGATTTGCTGATTTCGCGAACAGACTGGAGATGGCTGTCGAAAATGATAGAAAATGATGGGAAATGCGGAAATCAGGAAATACTTTCTCTGGTTTCTTTTCCGTTCGACTTTTCATTCGTTAATTACGAGGGACAATCCATTTCCAGAATAAACGATGCAGTTCCTTCATGCTTCGTGTTGCCAGAACTGAACTTCCAAAAAAAAAAGAGGTGAAATTCACATTTTACCGTCCCTGTAAACTAAACAATAAAATGTGTTTATGGGTCGAGGGTAAACAATTCCTGAGTTACAGCCCATTAACATCGTCGGCCTTCTTTATATAGACATGAGAGAGAGGAGCGAACGGGCGACTATCTTTCTCTGAGCAAAACAAGGAATGGAAAACAAAAAAACAAACAGGAATTGTATCTTGAGATGATTTTTTTCTTTCTTAAGCTACATCCTCCGATGTAACGGACTTTAGCTGTTATCTTTCCCTTGACGTATTCCACCATCCGGTTGACTCAGAAAAAAAAGTATATGAAAGCTGAAATACTGGAAAGCGGCGATGATTAAGTGGCAGGGGTAGCCAGTATATAATAGGACATAGTTCGGGGCCATCGGCAGCCTCGTCGCGACGTCAACTTCGAGGACTGAATGCGAGGAGGGGGTTCTCGGATAAAGGATGTGATGAGAGGACGCACATTCATGAACCCTGTCTCCTCTAAAGACCGGAATAGATCGCAGCTGCAAAGAAGGAAAAAAAAAAGGAGTGCAGGAAGGAATGAGGATCAACAAACGGGTATACACGGTCCCCACGTAGGTCTATCCTGCACTAGGGGGCAGCAAACGGTATATTCAACGAACGAGCATAATCAGCACAGCTGATGCCTCGTTGAAAAGATTGTCGCTTTCAAAGGTTCCGTGCAATTTCAGGAGAGCAAACAGCAATTTGAAGCCAATTGAAGACTCATCAACCCCCTGCCACGCGAATGAGAGCCCCGGGGAGCCCTCCCTTCCTCCCTCCCTGTCCTCCCTCCCAAAGGGGTATAGGACCAAAGGCCCGATATGACGTGCCATACATGCAGGCTCCCAACGTTTCCACGGAAAAAATCCCCCTTTTAGCATGAGAAAAAAAACGGTCAGTTGCCTGCTGAGCAAGCTGCTTCTTACCTGAAAAATCCCCTATTTTTTGTGTCCTTTCTCTAGAAGGCAGGAGTGTGCAATAAAGCTGAATAAATGAACCGGATCGGATTCAATCCTTTCTCGCCAATGAAAAGGCTGACGCAACTGCAAGAGATTTTTTTAATGGGACTTTTTTTCGTCCCTCCCTGCCGGGGAGGCGTGTAAAATGTCTCCATACAAAAGATTTGTATTTGTCTCCCCTTAGGACAGGAGCAACCCTTTGAATGTATTATCCACGCCTGATTTTCCAGATTCAGAAATCCTGATCAAGTGGAAAATGGTCTTTTTGTTTTCCCTTCTGTTGGCCATGGGCGGAAAGGGCGAGACGCGACAGGGCGTCCATCTCTCACAGTTCATCACATCGTATTGGCTCTTGGCCTCGGAAAGACCCTCTTTCATTTTTTTCCGATGCATTTCGCTTCGACGAGCCGGTCCACGTGCCCTTGTTTTCCGACGGGAAAAGGAGGCTGAGCTTTAATGAATTTCAACTGTCGAGGCTGAGCTTCTTTAATTCCGGATCAGAGCTCCAATTTCGGGCCCGATTTTCTGCTCTGCTTCATCCTCGGGAGTATTAATGATACGAATCAAGACTTTTTTCCCATTCCGGGAGGGAACTCGGGGAGGGAGAGAGCGAGGGAGAGAGCTAGGCAGAGTGAGAACGGTGAGACAGAAAGGACAGCTTGGGGTCATCGAATTGGAAGAGGGTGGGCATTTCGCACGGCGATATACGTGAAAATTACGGCTCTCACCTCACGCTATCGTGCGTGTAGAATGATCGACAATGGAGGGCCTCACTCCATTTCCGGAGTTTACGTGTCGCTGCATCCCATGTTACACACACACGCACGCACGGGAATTTCTCCCAGAGTAAATATCCCTCCGAAAGAACACAGAGAAAAGCAGAGAAGGAAAAAACTCATTATTGGCTATAGCATCGACACTACGTAGAAGTGATTATCACAGAGAATACGCGAGAAGCGTTCGTGTCCTTGCATCTTTCTCCCCCCATTTCGCCTAGTGTCATCCCGAGTGATGCGAATGGAACAGCGAAGGCGGGAACTCTCGGAATCGAGGGACGAATCGATTCCTCTGCTGGAGCAGCGCCGCCTCCTCGAGCTGGAACGAAAATCGCCGGTCAGCCTCGTCTGAAAACCAGCGAAGTGGCGGCAGAAGCCTCTTTTTCCTTTTCGCTTACTTGAGCTGAGGATTCGTCGAATTCGATGGCGCCCAATCCTTCCAGCCGATCGATGTCGATCCAGCCTCTCCATCTCACGCAGACTCCGTTCAGTATGAACTGTGACGTCAAATGAACCTAAATCCGATAGAGAGAGAAGAGAAGAGTCTTTTCTCGGCTCCCGTTGGAAAGCCCTTTCGAAGAGCTTCTTTTTCTGTGCGAAGGGCGACTCACCTTTCCTGGGTCGCTGTCGAAATCAGCCGGCCTCCCTTGAAGGCCTCGACACGAAATAGGAGGGAAAACCAGGTGAAAATTGATGCCAGACCCCAGGTAGACCTGAAAGAAAAAGCGAAGATGATCACATTCGTCAAGCCGTTCAGAGCGATGAAGGATCTCAAAAGCATGAAAGCTGTAGAATATCGGCGTCAGATTAACAGTGCCGTCCTAAGTGGGGGGGAAAGGGGGGGGAGTGTGAAGAAATGCTTGCCGGGGGCCCTAAGAATGGTCAATAGCTGTTTTCAAATTCGTGGTCCGATTGTGGTTTGGTGTTGGTTCAACTTCAGTCATCCCTCCGGGTTAATCCACTCATATCTGCAGTGCAGTGGAATTAAAAGCAGACTGCGCTGCATAAATTGGAATTTATGAAAAACGATAGCCGATCCAAACGAGTGCTACTTTTGTCAAAAGTTCTCAGTCCCCCTCTCAACGAACCTTCAAACAAATAACGTAAGTATGACAGCTACAAAACGAAATGCGAAAGAGCTAGAACCGAACTCGTAATCTGTCCCAGTTGTGAAAACGCCCTGCACAGCCGCGAACGCAGTTCGTCTACCAAGAGCCATCTTTTCCGGTGTTTTTCAGCGTCTGATGAATCCTGCGGAGTTATTGCGTTCTTGACTGGATCCTCGCGAATTTTAGGAACGACTACAGAAGTACGATGGCAGCACTCCACGTCACATCGTTAAATCGTGATAAAAGAGTCACCGGGCCGCGAAGGGGTGGATCATTTGGGTAAAAAGCACCTGTGTTTTGTTTGCGAGCATCGATCCTCATCGGCACACATGTTTCCCCCCCGACGGGCACTCGGGCAAGTACAAACAATTTAAATACCACCTACAGAGCGACGCGTGCTCATCATTAATTTATTCCTCATTCGCGTCACAGCGTCGACCCGGTCCCCCTCGCCGGAAACAATGAAAGAGATCACGAATTTCGATCAGCGACGAAGGAAACGATCGCATGCCCGATCGAGAGAGTTTAGACGGCATGAAACACGGCCGTCATTAGATGCTTCTCTCTTCGTAACAAAAATTGACGCGAATACCGTCGACACGAAATCCGTGGAAGTTTTCAAATCAGTGAAGCGGCGTCGTTATAATCACCAAAAGGAAGTGGGGACATAAAAGTTCACCTGGTTACTGCTCCCGGTCCTGAGATATTTGCGCTCGAGAAAGTGCTGCGGCACTTATTGGGAGGAATGAAAGTTGGTGCTTTAATTCTTGCATTTATCCTCTTCACTAGTGAGAAGCCTCTCTCCTTTTTTTTCGATTCATTACATTGTTTTCCAATTACTTTCGTACCTGCCGCATATTACTACGAACAAGAGGCACATTGCCTCTTCCTCCTTTCAAAGTGATCCGCACGCGTTGCATGATGTTTCGTAAGAAACTGACGCCCTCCTCTCGCCCCGCCGAGCGCATGCTGCTTCGAATGACACTTCCACCTGACAACCCTTGGAGAGAGGAATGCATGGCCTGTCGATAGGCATTAGAATGGGTGGATGTCAAGCGCCCAGATTCGCGGATTGCTCTCAAGTACTGTACTCCGTGAAATAGGTCAATAAGCAAATGGAAAATGAGTTCCTCACTCGGGAATTTTTAATCGATCGTATTGCAAGTAACGACGGAAAGTATCGACGAAATGCAACCGTCGTTTCAAAGGTCCCGGATGCGGTTTCCTTCAGGGTTGCCAGGTGGTCTTCACATCCTCAAGCGGCACCGGAGGAGCGGTGGAGAGCAGGGGGGTACGAAACATTATGCAACGCGTCCGATTCGTTTTGAGCGAGGGGCGGAGTATTTCACTGTTAGTGCTTAGCATTCTGCAAGACGTGCGAAATTCGCTGAGAAACACTGTACATTTATAGAATATATTCCACTGCCATACTTCATATTTCTGAAGCATCCCCGTAAAAAAAAGGAAGCGAACTCTTTAAAATTCGAGTCCATCGGTACCTCTTTTGCCGAAGTCTGTTCGATCCGTCTGAGTACTAGGATTATCTGCGCGCGTTTTATATTGTCGCGTGTTTTGAAGCACTGTAGAGTGCTTCAAAAGTGATGCATTGAGTGCCCTCAAGCAATGCATTGAATTCTTCCTGCACTTTGTCTAAACGAAACCGGTGCAATTTCATCCATTGAATCAATGAATGCTGGGTGCTTTCAAAATTATCGAAACCGAAAAGGAATCGAGTGGCGAAATTTTGGAATAATAGTAGGTCTAGCGTTGGAACCAAACAAATGGGTTCCGTTAAGAACTTTTCATTTACTAGTATATGGTCATAATGATTGATATCTTCAAGATGCTTTTAGAGTCGTTTCTTTTAACGTTTTTTTTTTAACGCTGAGAAGTTGTGCAATGCAGAAGTTCAAGCATGAAAGGAGCTTGTTCAATTTTGGCCCCTAAATGACAAAATCGATATATTAAAAAAATGTGTTCTAGTTGAACACAAATACAAAATTTTTATTCAATTATGAAGAATCTGTGTTAAATATTGGTGCTAATACGTGAATACCTCGGGGTGACTCAAAAATAGTTCCCAACTTAATATAGCTGCCGACAGAATACCATACAACAGGGGTGTCAAACTCAACTCGGTCGGCGGGCCGCATTCCTTAACCTGGGGATGCCTGCGGGCCGCACCCATACTTTTTCACCGAAATTTTTGCTAACAGTCAATCCAAGCGGAAATTTCAAGAACATACGGCGGGCTGGATCCGGCCCGCGAGCCGTATGTTTGACACCCCTGCCATACAAGATATCGGCAAGAAATTTACCGGACGGTGGTATCGTGAAAACTTGAATGCAATTGGTCCGGCATAACCTGACATTGGTGGGCACAAGGAACTTGGCTCCCAACGAGAGCGTGTTCGCATGCTCTGACCCGTGCCGCTTCCCCCCCTCGCGCGAACCTCCTCTGCCTCGTGGCCCCGGATAGCAGAGAATGCAGACTCGGACACGCTCCCTCTGACTGACAAGGAAAAGAGAGATCTCATTCGGATTCCGTCTAGATCAGTGGTGCTCAACCCGCGGCCCGCGGGCAAAAAGTGGCCCGCGAGGCCCTAACCCACAATAAATAAATACCCTTAAGGTTTCCTTAAAATAGTCTTCTACAATACTAGTGACTGGCCCGCGATGGCTATGGGAGTGAGCTATGTGGCCCCCTAGCCGTTGGGCACCACTGGTCTAGATGGTCGATTTCGTTCAAATTGTATTAAACCGCTGCATGTGACTTCTGAATGTCATCGGACTCTTGTCGAATTAATTCAGCCTTTCTTCAATGAGACTATGGGTTCTTCAACTGTTTTCACCTTTCAGTCCTTGGAGTGGTCGTTCAGAGTTGTGGTACCCCAGAAATACATACCCTCAGGCTCGAATGAGCCATGTATCAACCCAGTACTTTACTGCGAGTACTTCTTGCACTGCTACCACTGGGAGCTTACAACTTTATACCACAAAATGCACACTTTTTGGGAAGAAGAACCTGTCGGTACGTCACGTATCGAAATAGGAATCACCACTACGGTACTAGTGCTGGGAAAATTCCGAATTTACCTGCTTTGTTCAGACCGGATCTACCCTTCCAAATACTCTTGAGTACTTCATGTTGTAGGAGCTTGGGATTCGATAGCCCATAGCGGCTGCCCTTGAGGGAAATGTAGAGGAGCCCCATTTCCGCAGCTCTACCCTGCAATTTTGCTCGAGGTTGGTCTGCATGTTCCGGATAATACATACTTCTCGGCAAATTTAGAACCTCTTATGACCCCGAACAGACATACCGTTGCCAGAAGGCAAGCTGGACGAGGTCGATGCCTCGACGACTTGGAATCGGGTGAGAAGTACTTTGGGTACCTTTCGTATTATATCAGTACTTCAGACCGATAATATACAACCACAGATAAAGACAAGACCAAGGGCATCACACTGATGAAATCGGTTCGGTAGTCTTTCGTCTTTTTGGAATCAGACATTGGCAAAGGGAGGCAGCGTACTAATATGTGGCGTGAATTTGAGTTGCGAAGATGAAATATTTTATGGCTTCAGCGACGGGTTATTTCTTTGCTCGACCTTCAAATTTGTTCACAACGATTCTGCGATAGTTTTTCCGGAAGATCGACGCCGCTGTAAAATCTTATCTCCTGCACGTCGCCCGTCGAATTCCCTGAATCGGGCCATTGCCAGCACTCGCCCAAGGGGGAGGGGGGGGGGGGGGGGGGGGGGGG